TGTGTGTCTTATTTTATGTGTATCTTATTTGGTTTAATTGGGTTTACTAATTATTATTTTGTTCAATTAGATTATTTGTTAAGTATTTAATGGTGAATAGGGTAATTAGGTAAATACATCTAACTATGGTTTTAATTACAGTATAAATTAGGGTTTTATATTATAGCCGTCGTAGGTTTCTACGTTAATTGGATGGGCCGGTTAGGATTGTGAGTTGGACTTAAATGAACCTAGGGTTTAGGAAAACTCTATAAGTATAAGGTAGACGTCTGTGTAGGGTTTCTTTTAAACAAAGCACACGTTTTGTGGAAGTGGAGAAGGAAAAACGCAGTTTTTCACATTCTGCCAAGGTTTGATCAAAGCTCCGATCCCGCTTCGTCCGTCGTCCGATCGAGCTAAATTTTGGAGGAGAGGTTCACGACTTAGTGACGCACAATCTGAACAGTGGAGATCAGAGTTTGATCTCGGGAACAGTGATTCGTACTCGTGAACAGTAACCGGGTCGCACATGTTTTTTCCATTCTGCCCAGATTTCATCAAACATCCGATCCCGCTTCGTCCGAGGTCCGACTAAGCTGAAATTTGGAGGAGAGGTTCACGGCTCAGTGATGCACAATCTGAACGGTGGAGATCAAAGTTTGACCTCGGGAACAGTTATTCGTACTCATGAACAGTAACCGGGTCGCACATGTTTTTTTCCATTCTGCCCAGATTTCATCAAACCTCCGATCCTGCTTCGTCCGTGGTCCGATCGACCTGAAATTTGGAGGATAGGTTCATGACTCAGTGTCGCACAATCTGAACGGTGGAGATCAGATTTTGAGTTCGAGAATAGTGTTTCGTACCCGTGAATAGTAACCGGGTTTTGGAACTCGCTGGTATTTTTTAAGAAGACGACGTTGAAACTTTGAACAAAAGTTTCTGAGGCAAGATTCTATCCTTACTCTTTCCCTTAGGTTTCATACTCTTTGCACTCTTAAATGATTTCAGGATTAATGAAGATTAAACCAAAATAAATTATATCTGTTTTGCTATGAAACTGGTAGTTACAGTAGTGTTGTATGCTTGTTCAACCTAAACTAAGCATGTTTGTGGATGTATTGTGGTTCTGTGGTTTACGTTTTTCCTTACCACTGCTAGTATAAATTATTGAAAAGATGGATCTAGATGATAGCTATCTTAATTTCTGTAATAGCAACTGTTGGAACTTAAATACTAGGAGGATTTGAGTTTAACACTAGATCGGTTTTGTGGAACACTATAATTTGAGCATGTCTACATATATACTGTGAATATTGTTTTGATGCTTACATTATCACAGTTAGTATCAACTGTGGAGGTTAGGATTTTATGATACATACCCTACATATCTGTATGTCATTTGTAAGGTGTTAAATGAAAGTTTTAATTAATTCTGTCTTTATATCAGACTAAAGGGAACAACTTAAATTGGGCATGTATATGTTGTTGTTGTGACCCTGTTTATCAATGCTTATTTTATCACTGCTAACATTGAATGTTGGATGTTGGAATTTAGTTGATATATACTTGATTTATTGGTATTATTGACTACTGGAGGATTGGAAAGTAGGCACCGGTATGGGACGGTGGCATACTGAGGATGGGTTTGGTTTTTAAAACAATACCATTACCCACCTACTTGGAATAAGGATGGGATTAACTAAAAGTTAAGTCCCGTGAATTTGTATTGTCATGGCAACTACTTGTTAAGCGGCAATACCAGGGATTTTGGATGGATTTTATATATGTACTGTTATGGTGCCTCGGTATGAGCTTGAGCCTCAGGACCAATGGCTAGGGAGCGTATATGTATCGGGATGTGTAGCTGGCTACGATGGTTGGAGGTGTACCCTGTTTAGGTATAAGTACATATGCCCACTTCGTGTGCGTTTTAGCATGTTACCTCTATTCAGGTTGAGACCGGCCTGTAGTCCAGTGAGAGTCCTTTAGTGTGACTATATATATATATATTTACGGACTATTAGCTATTGTTGAATTGTTTAGGATGTACATGCGTATCGGGCCTCTGTTTGGATTGTAGTAGTATAGAACTTGCGCGTGGGCCTGACCCACTTCTATTTTTCAGGTACACGACAGTTCCAGGCTTAGACGTGTTCGTGTTGAGCAGAGGTCTCTATTCACTCTTCCGACGATGTAGGGCTCTCTCTATAGTTTTATTTCTGGACGTTTATTACAGTTGTTCTATCTTCCGTTTGGATGTTTAATAGGGGTCCACTAGAGATGGATTCCCAAGTTGTAAACTGATGGAGTTTTGGAGTTTGGGTTTGATGGATTTTAATAATTATAATATTTTGCGGATTCTATTTTTAGTTCCTTCCTACTTTAATTTCATTTCTTAATTTATTTTGTATTCCGTGTTCATTATAAAATATTAATTGTTTGATATTCCCTCGGGTTTGGGCCTGGGCCTGATCAACCCGTGTCTCGGATCCGAGGGGTATCACAAATAACCAGTTGTACCGAAGGTCATTCTCCGGTCCTTATCTCAAGTGTTTAACCCCTACTGAGGCTCTCACAATTCTAAAACAAATTCGTGAAGGAGATTGTGGAAATCACTCGGGAGGAAGATCCCTTGCACACAACATTCTAACCCAAGGTTATTTTTGGCCATACTTGGCTCAGAATGCCGAAGAATACTCAAGAAGATATGACAAGTGTCAGCGCCATAGTCCAATAAGGCATCAACTTGCCGAAGGTTTGCACGCCATGGCTAATCCATGGCCGTTCGTCCAATGGGGGATTGATGTAGTAGGACCGTTACCCAAAACCATGGAAAAAAAGGAGCATATGCTTCTGGCTACGGATTACTTCACCAAGTGGGTGGAAGCTGAAGCCTTCCCTAGCGTCACCCACGAAGAAGTAAAGCATTTCATTTGGAGCAACATTATTTGCCGGTTTGGGGTACCAAAAGTCATCGTAATGGACAATGGTAAGAACCTCAATAACAGAAGTACAAGAAAGTTCTTTAGCGAACATGGAATCCTGCAAAAATTGGCTGTAGTTAGTCATCCACAAGGCAATGGGCAAGCTGAAATAACTAATCGCACGATATTCGGGTGCTTAAAGAAAAAATTGGAGAAATTGAAGACAAAGTGGTACGAGAATCTCCCTCAAGTGCTCTGGGCTTATCGAACCACTCCAAGACGACCCACGGGAGAAAGCCCATTTGCTATGGCATATAGATCCGAAGCTGTCATTCCTACCGAGTCCATAATCCCAACCCTTCGAACATCCTTGGTACTGGAAGGGAACAATGAGCAACAACTCGAACATAGCCTTGATCTTGTGGACGAAAGGAGAGATGCAGCAGCAATTCGGCTCGCGGCATACCAACAGCAGGTGTGTAACAATTATAACAAACGCGTTAGATTCAGGAGCTTTGTGGTAGGCGATTGGGTTTTGAAGCAGGAGACAGCTCATGTAAAGAAACTGGAACCTAATTGGACCGGACCCTACAGGGTTACCGAAGTAGTGGGGAAAGGAGCATATCGTTTGGCCGAAGCTGGCGGACGTCCCATTGCGCGTCCTTGGAACGCAATACACCTGAAAAGGTATTTCCATTAGTTAAGTTTGTCAATTTTGCTACAAATTCTTCACAAATAAGGCTGAGTATGTCCACAGTCAGCCAAACTTTTCTTTATTTTGCTTCTATATTCAGTACAACTCTACTCTATTTTTGTTTCTTTTTATAAAAATGGGGGCCATACTACTCTATGATTGTGCAACTTTTATGCATGCATCGCATTAGGTAATTTTTATGCATGCCAAGTCGCACTATGCAATTTTTATGCAATTAGAAGCAAGCTGCTAAAAAGCATTCGCCACAATAATTTTTATGCATGCCAAGTCGCACTATGCAATTTTTATGCAATTAGAAGCAAGCTGCTAAAAAGCATTCGTCACAATGATTTTTAAGAGAAAAAAAACAAAAAACATGAGTTATGGCCTATGCTTAAAACTTTCTATCCCACGTCGACACAAAAGTATGTGCTACATTCTGTTATATGTGGGAATATTCAAATAGTTAATTACAGTGTAAGGAGGGCCCAGGCTGTCAAGCTCGATACCAGAGGCATTCCTTACACTGACCTTTTTGACAAAATTTAGTCTATATCCCACATCGGATAGAAATAGAAAAGAAATGTGGTTCATATATGCGTGGTCCACAACATTTGGTTGCCAAGAAAGGAGTATCAGTGGAGGAGGAAAGTCTCCAAAGTCAACAAATAGGAAACTTCACAGCCACTGTTACTCGCTTTCTTGGCCTCTTATCATTTTTGAATCCTCGGCCTCATGATAAGTTGTTTGAGAAAAAATATAAACAAACTTCCCCTCAGGCTCAGCGCCGGGGAGTAGTTCATTCGCTTCGGACCCTAAGTGTCCGGTTCGGCAAAACCTCCCTTCAGGCTCAGCACCGGGGAGTAATTCATTTAACCTCCCCTCAGGCTCAGCGCCGGGGAGTAATTCATTTAACCTCCCCTCAGGCTTAGCGCCGGGGAGTAGTTCATTCGCCTCGGACCTTGAGTGTCTGGCTCGGCAAAACCTCCTCTCTGGCTCAGCGCCGGGGAATAATTCATTTAAACCTCCCCTCAGGCTCAGCGCCGGGGAGTAGGTTATTCGCCTCGAACCCTAGGTGTCTGGCTCGGCAAAAATCTCGCCTCGGACCCTAAGTGTTTGGCTCGGCAAAAATCTCGCCTCGGACCTTAAATGTTCGGCTCGGCAAAAATCTCGCTCCGGACCCTAAGTGTCCGGCTCGGCAAAACCACCCCTCCGGCTCCGCGCCAGGGAGTGTTTAATTCGCCTCGGATCCTAAGTGTCCGAGACAGCTTCGGACCCTAAGTATCCTATTCAACATTATTCCTCCACGACTCAGTGCAGAGGGACAATCCGCCTCGAATCCTAAGTGTCCGAGACAGCTTCGGACCCTAAGTGTCCTATTCAACAATATTCATCCACACTCAGTGCCGAGGAATAATTCGCTTCAGACCTCTGGTGTCTGGATCAGAACTCTTTCCTCCGGACTCCAAGTGTTTAATACCCTGTGGATGTGGATATATCATAAGTTCATCATGATCCACCCCACATCAGGAACACACAAGAAGGAAAGAGTATGTATACGTCTACTGCAGGCAAGTAAAAGGCAAGGAGAGTTCACTTAACAGTTAAATCATTGTCCATATGAATCATCCTGAGATATCAACTAAACTGTTAAAAGGATCTCCTTCTTCCCACCATCCTTGCTTTTTCTCGGATAGCATAAATCCGAAGCATAAAGACAATGTGTTTTGTTTAAACACATTACCAGTCAGAAAAATATGAACAGTATCAAAAGCATATAGCAAAAACAAATCAGGTATTGAAAGCCTAAAACAAAAAATTATATTCATTATCCCAAACATGCTGTCCTTAAAAACAAAATACATGGTTCTACTTCCTCTTCGGATCAAAGGGAGTAGATTCAAAAGCATCCACTACAGTAGGACTTGGGGTAGGAGGAATTGAAGCCGCAGGGGCAGAAGAGCTAGGAGTACCCTTCAGGTGCGCCTTCACCATCTCGGCAAAGCGGATTTCAGCTTCCAAAGCCTCTAGCCCTTCATCATATGGGAAGTGCACCCCCACCTGCTTGTCAAAAGCATCCGGATCCATCGTCCTAGGGCCTGAGCCCTGATTATAGCCAGACCGGAACGCTTTAGCATTAGCCAGGTGTGCCAGACAGGAGTGGCGCCCCTGCATTTGCTTCCCCGCCTTGAAGCAAGTAGTAAAAGCCTCGGTCAGGCGTTGAACTTCGGCCTGAAGAGAATCCACCTTAGCCTCAGAGGCTGCCAGCTGCCTCTTATACGCATCCTTGGCTTCAGAAGCTATCTTCAGATTGGTAGAGGCAGTGGTGGCTCTCTTCTCTGCATTGTCAAGATCCTTTTCCAGCTTCTTGATGGAAAGGGATTGGGCTTTAGCAGTGGCGCAGAGGGCCATGGTGTGGTATAGACTCTGTATAACAGAGGAACAAATATGAGCATAAATGGAAACATAAGCAAGCAAGAGTAACATAATTCTGAAGGAGCAATGCGAACCTCTATGGCCTGGACCGGGGCAGAGGGGAGTAGTTGTTCCAACCCCATTTGGCTGATGGCTTCCTCGTCCTTTGGGAGCCACATCCCTCGAGCCACCGCCAGTGCAGCTGAAGGGTCTGTAATTATAGAATCCCCTGAGTGCAGGACTGACTTGTCAGCCCTGGTGAAAGAAGAAGTCCAAGGAGCCCCAGTCTCAGCCAGAACAAAGGCCCTGACTTCATCTTCAGGTTCGGCCTCTCCAGCCTTTTTCCCTCTGCTTTTAGAAGGGACCTTGCCCTTGCCAGAGGATGGGGGGTTGAGGCGAGATTTCTTCATTGGTGGTTCCTCAGCCTCCACCTCATCCTCAGTAAATCTAATAACGACCAAGGGTTGGGCATCTTCGGCTTTCTTTTTTAAAGCCTCAACCCTCCGTATCTCCTCCTCAGTCATGGGGAAACTGTCAAAGGATGGTAGAGACAGATCCATGAGGTCTGCAGCAACAGCACTGGAGGCAATATCCTTGAGGTTTGAAGAAGTTAGCAGGTCCTCGATAGGCGAGGGGTCACTCCAGACTCATTCCTCAAGAAAAGAAAGTCTGTTCCTTACTGCGGAGGATGGGAATGTAGCTGAAAAAACACCAAGAAACTCATAAGTACGGCGAAACATTAAGACTTGGCAAGGAAAACAGCCAGAACACTTGGTATGAAGGGAGGTTAAGTATTCTATACCTAATTTCCCGAACTTGCGCGGGATGGGGAGCGTAATTGATTGGGGCACGAACCATTTTCCTTTAACTATAACCATCCTTTCTTTCCACTTCTTTTCGGATGAAGGAAGGTTCGTGCATATCCTCTGATGAAGGGGAGAGGTAAAAAAGAAGCGACCAGGCTCGGTCCTATGCTTAGATATATTGTAAGTAAGCAGAAGGTCGGCAAGGGTCAAATCCAGAGCCTCTAATTTCTGGCGCACCAACAGTGCCGAAAGGATGCGAAAGAAATTAGGATTTACCTGAAGGGGGGCAAGTCCTAACCTGTTGAAAACTAAATGATAGAAGGGATGAAGAGGGAATCGGAGGGCGTTAAGATGCCCTACCGAAAGAAGCAATTCACTCTCTTCAATTCCCTCGCCGGAGGTAAAATCGGCACCCTCGGGATATTCTGCAATTTCTACTCCCTCAGGAATATCAAATTCTTCCATTACTGAAGCAATATAGAACTTGATGCGGCGAATAGAGATGATTGATTTCCTCTCTTCATGAGTAAGAACATAATCAGAGCCTGAGGTGGATGTCTCGGCTGGAAGGGGGGAAGTACCTAATTGATTCAACGAAAGACGATCTGTAGAAACCCTAGGAGGGGGAGCCCTAATGCGAACGGGGGAAGATGAAGGTGTGGATTCAGAATCCCCAATGTCTATACGTTCGGGAGTAGATGAAGTACTCATAATGAAAGATTGAAGAGAAAGATGCGAAAAAAAAACTAACCTAACAAAGCGATGGAATGAAGAACGCAGAAGTGCAGCAAGGGCGAATGTAACTCTTGCAAAATCTTGTATGACGGAGTAATAATGAAAGACCTCGAACCGTTTCTGAAGCAAAGTAAAAAACCGGTTTCAATTCCCTCTTTAATAGGAGCCGTCACTCAATTCAAAATGAAATTTGGGGCAAAGTGTGGAGGGAAAAAAAACTCCCTCCAATAAAAAACGCACACGTCATCACTACACATATCTACATTCCAAGGACATATAAGGCCCATCATGCTCAAGCCCAAATTGAGGGTACTTATAACCCAAGACCATTGTTATTTGTCCTCCAACCTCCATCAAGGCCGAATCAAGAGGTCATCAGCCCAACTTGTTAATATTTAACATCCGGTCCGTTACTCATGCCCAGCCGAATCAAAATATGTTCAGCCCAGTTATTCAAGAATGCACAAGTCCTACCAGTTGAAGGATTTACCGTAGAAGGAAAATTCTGAGATAGGAAGTTCTGTACAAGGCAAGTTCTATGTATGGAAAATTAGACAATGGAAAGAACTCTATTAGTAAAGAATGTTTATATAGAAAGAATTGGAGGGCAAACAACGCGAGTCCTACCATAATTTTACAATCTTTTGTATATAAATAGAGGCTTAGACCTCCAATAAAGGGATCAAGCAATTCTACGCTTCGAGATATATTGTTCTTGTTTATTTTACTATTGATTGAGTGAGTTGTTTTATTTTCCTTAATCATTATTGGTTGAGCGAAATTTTGCACCTACAGTAACCAAAGTTGAACTCAGTCTCCAAAAAAAAAAAAAAAATGAGCAACAAATAAAATTAGAAGCATCTCGTAAAGTTTGATGCCAATATACTTTTCAATGCAAAGATTGATTGGAACAATGAGGATCAATTATAGTTTCATATGATCATGTATCATGTAACTATTTAAATTTATTTAGGAAAAAATAAATAATAACTATTCAAATTTTCAATGACATAAGTGAAATAAAAGTTACTCTAATCATGTTCGTGCCTCGTACTTATTTTTTCAAAAGTTATTCAAATTGTCCAAGTTACACTATTTGTTGAGGATCTTATACATGTAATTTTATTTCAAGTGTTAATGATTTTTTTTTTTTTTTTCCAAATATTATAAGGAAACAATGTGCTTTTTTTGTTTGTTTGTTTTTTTTTTTTTTTTGTTTGTTTTTGGGAAATTAAGTATTGTATATATGTTGAATGTATAGATGGGCCGGAACCCCAAAATAAAGCCCAAGCCACCCTTGAGCACCAAACCAGCCCATACCCTTAATGACACGTATGATGCAATATCATTGGCCCAACAAAGATTTTTTTTCCTATCCAAGACAAGATTGAGTATCATAACAATCCTTACTTAAACAAATTTATTTATTTTCTATTAAGCACTGTTGTTATCTCACAATCAGTACTAATATTATTGCAAATTGTGATTTAACAAAATTTATGCTAAACATTAAATTTCATGCGATTATCAATACATTGGAATATCAGGAAGATCTTTACACACCTCTTGTGAGGTCACATGTCACTTCCCAAATTAAGTGACCTATATTTGTATAACTAAAATTCTTACCAACAGAGATTTTTTGCTTCTTGTTATTTAACATTCTCACATATAATTTCTTTGTACATCCATTTTTTTTCTCTTTTTATTAATCAGACAAATAATTCTTACACACTCTGAACCTTTCACTCTAGAAGCCTTCAAATGGGTCTTTTATGTTCTCAAAAAAAAAAAAAAATAAATAAATAAATAAAATAAATAAAATAAAAATCTTAAACAGGTTAACCCGATTGACCCAAATAATATTAGAGGCAGTAGTGAACGAGTGATGTGAGGCATCATCATATGAGTCAGGATGATTCTCTCCCTCGTAAACCAGACGAACCCCTAACCTCTTCACCCTAAAATCAATTCCAGAACAATTCATAATTTTCATCTCCACTTCATCTCCAACGCCCAACCAAGATTCAAGGTGCTGGTTCGGTATGTAGGAGAGGCACATTTGTGCACCGCATGGAACTGTTGGTTTACTACGTGGTCCCCTAGACCTCTTCGCTTCATTACAAACGCAATATTTAACGCTGAGAAAATATTTAAATATGGTGCCCACGCGCTGAGAAAATACAATACAGAGAATAACCCCTTGTATTGTCCCACCCATGAGCTGAGGCACCCGAAAACGTATAACGGGTCCCTCACTCTGGTAGTTGCACCACCTCGGAACCTCACTCCCGGGAAGAATAATATGCAACTCTTGTTCTCGCAGTCCCTACATTAGTCCCACGAGCTGAGGGTTAATTAATTGGTTTCTAATACTACATATACATATATAAAGAGAGAGTATTGTATTGTACCTGACAACTGAGGAAATTTCTTCTAAAATTATATGCACAATTGTTGTTGACTAATTTGGGACAACGGTAAAATCTCATCCTCAGTACTGGAAGGCTAGTGATGATGGCTTTTGATTCCATTGATATGCTCTGCAATGATGTACAGTGGATTGCCAACAATTCACATAAACTTACTGGAAGCGCTGGAAGTGATTTAAGCCGAGTACAACTGTTTATGACGAGATACCTCAGTCGTGGAAGGCTAGTGATGGTGGCTGGTAGGTTAGAAAATTTGTTTCTGCTAAGATTCAAATATTCTAAGGACACCAAACTACCAATTTCACTGGGCAAATTTGTTATATTGCAACTTTCCATACGTAATTCCCTGATGCTACAGGATAACTGATACGACGAAAAGCTTGTTTCAAATCGTGATCCTTGAAAAATTGCGAAACCTTGACTTATAGGACGAAAAGCTTGTTTCAATTTTCTATTCGTAATTCCCTGATGCCAATCTAATTTCGAGCAGCCAGACAGATTCAAATGAAAGAGAGACTTCAGCATAAAAACGCTCAGCGGAATCTTCTTAAGATTCTTGCAATTCCCTAGATTCAAGACAAGAAGATTTTTTAGACATCCAACAGATCGGTGAACCTCTACCAGCTTTGCACAATCATTAAGCAACAATTTCTCAAGACTGGTGAGTCCCGTGAAGTCTGGAGTTTTGATCAAGAAATATGAATGACTAAGATTGAGGTATTTCAATTTGTACAAAACCTGTTAGTAACAAAAAGAAACAATAAATTTACAGGTATGTCATTATATATATATAATTAAGTAATTTGGAGCAGATGATTAAAAAAAACAGTAGTATCATCTTACCTTTGTTCCTCTCCAAACTTGTTTAAGCTTGCTATAGCTCAAGTCAATGACAACCAGATTATCCAAAATTAAGGTTGGTGGTATACATTCTAAAGGATATCCTTTCCAAGATAGCCATACAAGTCTTCCAGAGAGATATTCGTAGCTTCCACTTAGATGGACAAAATCGAGTTGAAGCAGTCTCAGCCTCTCCATCTTTGTAAATGCCTTCCAATTTAGTTGTAGTTCCTTTGATTCAGGCAAGTTCAGAACTAAGCCTTGAACTGCTTTTGTCCCCTATTGAAAATACAAGTTGTAGATATAAGAATATATATATGTGTGTGTGTGTGTGTGACAATGTGTTGAAAATAGGTTCCCATCCTAGTGTGTGTGACTTCTATGATGTACGTGTTGTGTGATATGGCATTTTAACATTGACAAGATGTATAATTAATTCTGGGATTGAGTTTTCACCACGTTATTTCTCAGTACGTCAAGAATGTCTTCATGATACCATAACCTGCTACGTTCGCCTGGCTCTTCAGGGGATTCTTGACGGACGATCTCTCTAGCCATGTCTTGAATTAGATCGTGCATCATCAGCCGGTTCCTCCCAATGCTTACGAGACAACGACGAGATAGAACCCTAATATCAGATTCTGGATAAAAACCGCAGCCTTTTAGAATTTTGATTGGCAAATCTTGGTCCATTCCAACAAAAAAACATGCAATATCTAAGAATAAACCCTTCTGTTTATCATCAAGTGAATCCAAGCTCAGCGCAAGTATTTTTTGAACTTCAAGATGAGGAATCTTTTCCAACTTCTTCAATTCATCTCTCCATTCAAGTATGGTTTTGTCAAACAAAAAACAACCTAAAATTTCAAGAACTAAAGGAAGCCCCTTAGCATAGCTCACTACTTCCTTAGAGAGGATCTCATAGCCTTGTTTAGGATGCTCTGTCCTAAACGCATGCCAACTGAAGAGTTGAAGAGATTTCTCCTCACTCAATTTCTCAGGCATATACACATCATCCGCTCGAAGTGAAGATGTTGCAGACAAATCTCTAGTTGTTACAATGATTCTACTTCCTGGACGTAACAAATCACGATTTATGGCCAATGCTCTCAATTGGCGAATGTTGTCCACACCATCAAGAACAAGAAGAACCCTTCGACACCATGCTCGCTGTTTTATCACCTCAATTCCATGATCCTCGCTACTTATTCTATGTTTTCCATCCTTAAGGAGATCACGAAGAAGCTTTCCTTGTAGTTCAACAAGGCTTGAACTTCGTCCAATATTTGCGAGAAAACTAGTGCTTTCAAACTGATGATGTATGCGATTATACATGGCTTTAGCAATTGTTGTCTTGCCTATTCCACCAAACCCCAATATGACAACAATCCTTACATCATCAGACCCCAACTTCAGAAACCCACTCAGTTGTTGAACACGATCTTCTATTCCAACTGGGTACACCGCAACACTTAAACCTGTTGGATTCAATTTATCTGCGACTTCTCCAACAATAGTGTCAATAAACCTCGACTCACAACACCTACCAAAAAAATTTAACCGTTTAGGAGAAACAAAATCAAAAAATAAAACTAAGATTTTTTACATTAAAAAAAAAATCAATAAATAAAATTAAGAAATTTTACATTAAAAAATAAAAAATAAAACAAAGGTGAAATTAACGCGTCTAACCCTTGTAGTATAAAAAGCGAGCAAATAAGGGCTTATTTTCAATTAAATAAAGTGAGATAGAAAAAAAATACTGTATGAAAATGCCCCTGGAGATTCTTTTTATAAAAATAATTAAAGATGAGTAGAAGTTGAAATAACTTAAAAAGGCTTAAACAAAATTATAGAGTAAAATCAAATGAAATATAATGTAAAAAAAATCAATAAATAATAAAAAAACATATAATGTAATATATATATATATATATATATATATATATATATTTGAAGTCAAGTGCCAAATCATATTCTTATTAATAATTACTGAATAGTTATATAAATAAATATAAAAATACTCTATATTTTTTGTACGGAATAATCTATTTTCTTGAATACAGATGACAACCCCATAATGCTTGACCAAAGATTTCATTCTTAAAAATGTATATTTTAGGTATAGACATTTAGGTGTATATATATTTATTTTATTGATATTTAATTTTATTTATTTTTTAGGTAAATTAATATTTAATTATTTGATCACGTGAATATGGAAAAATAAATTACTAACATAATATGTAAATTAATTTTATGTTTTAGACAGAATTATTATTTTTATAAAAAAAATATTATTGTATATATATATATACTCGACACAACATCTCACACAGGGACATACACAGTGCCTATGATACACACAATAGGATATAAAAACATAATTTTTTAAGAAAGATAAATTTAATTTATTTATTATTTATTATTATTTGTATTAAAGAAATAGAATCACATGGACATGAAGAGAGCCTATGATACACAAACTAGGATATAAGCAGAATTTTTTAAGAAAGATAAATTTAATTTTTTTATTATCTATTATTATTAGTATTAAAGAAATAGAATTTATATACGTGCAAGAAAGCTGTTAGAGAGAGAAGAGAATGCGAAGAAGAAAACTATAAATTTTAGTTTACATAACAGAAATTATAAAAAGAGAAATAAAATATAAATAGAGTATTTATAGAGTGAAATAATGAAACTGGGTATTATATATATAAAAATGAGGGAGAAATGAATGAGGGGCAATTTGGAAAGCCAAAAAGGTAGTGTTAGTATTAAAGAGCCTTTTTTTATCACATAACTGGCACATGTCTCTTTTTGAGTTTAGAAACCTTTGTTTGCTCATTTTTCATATTACAAGAGTGGAATTTGAAGAGCAGTATTATTTGGACACTTTCAAACAATAGGGGTTTTTTTTGCACTTCACCATTTCTTTTTTTAAGAGAGAAAAATAATTGGGTACCCATTGGCCTCATTTTGCAAGACGTAACCGGACAAATTGGCTGCCTCAGCTAGAGCCGACCTCCATTTCTTCAACGATTCAAAGTTGAACCGTTTTTCGTGACTAGCAAATGCTTCTGCATAACAACCATTCTGTGAGCGAACGTCGGAGGGTCGGACGTCATAAAAGATGGGAATAACAATCTGATTGAGTGCGCTCTTGCAATCCATGATCTTGACAAGCTCGTCAAGGCACCATCTTGAGGACGCGTAGTTCTCTGAAAATACAATAATGGAGACCTTAGATTGCTCGATTGCTTCGAGCAGTCCGCGACCAATTTCTTGTCCTCTTGTGAGTTTAGTGTCATCTATGAATGTGTAAAAACTATGGCGATCCAAAGCGGCCAAGAGGTGGCTTGTAAATTTCTTACGAGTATCATCACCGTTGAAAGACAAGAACACGTCATAAACACAGGAAGCTGTCATTTTCGAAGCTCAAACACTTTGATGAGAGGAGAGGAGAGGAAAGGAAAGGAAAGGAAAAGTTGGTTGTGCATGAGAGGAGAAGGGCATAACCTTAAATTATATAGATTGGACCATTGGAGTTCCGTATGCTTATTTTTCCAAGAATCGTGTAAGACTTGAAATAATAAGAGTTCCGTATGCTTATTTTTCCAAGAATAGCGTAAGACTTGACTTGAAATAATAAAGTCTAGCCCACTATAGTTATTTATGGACTAAATGCTCTGACACCCTTCTATTTATTGCCCTTATATTAAACCTAAGTCATTTTTATTATGACACCCCGGTTGTTTGTTTTTTCACAATAATATGAATTTACTATTATACCCATGTTTAATTTAATACTCAAACTGATGTCACTGCTGACATGTATGAATAAAATATGAAATCACAAAACTGCCCTTATAATTGATTTGATTAAACACAACCAAACTCTAAAACCCATCTTTCTTTTCTCGTCACTTCCTCTCTACCTCCGTCTCTGTCTCACCCTTTCCTTTGTAATCTCTACAACTTACTTTTCATCTCAGGAACCAAAGGCCAAGACTCCTTTTTATCTCCCTTCATCTTATCTCTCTATCAATCTCGAAAACCCTAAATGTATTATTCTCCATATCGTTCCCTTTTTTGTAAACGAAGTTTGTCTGCGATTTTGAAGGTGATTTCTGGGTATTTGAACTCTGCAATCCTCCGACAGCCCCTTTCTCTCTCCAGTCTCGAGTAGCATCACCGCCGCCAGTTTCTCCACCGGAGAAATTACAGAGAGCTTGTCCTCTGAAGGGAGTAATTACAGAGAGTTTGTCCTCTAAATCGCTGAGGAAAATCGCACAAGTTAATTAGTTCTTCTTCTCCGAACTGGCAAGTCATATTCAGTACAACATCAAAGAGGAAAGTCCTTGTTGGGAGTTTCAAACACCAAAAAAAAATCTGTCAGACAGAACTGAACTACAAACTCACCCATTTAGTAAAACAAAATCAGTTTTTTGAGTACAATTGATGTAGATCTAGTTCAGATGCAGACAGATAGAGTTCATATTGAGATAAAACCACAAGTGCGAGTGATACGAATGGTCAGATTTGCTTGTTCTTGTGGCGCTTATAAAGAAGTTTGGCCTGTTCGCTGATAATGTCTTCCGCTTGAGAACATGTATCTTTGTAGAAGTTCATAACTAGACCTGGGTCATCTTTTATTTATTATTTTTTTTTCTCCTTTACAACTCTCTGCTGTTTCAAGGGAAATTTCCACAACAAAATATTTACCCAAAGGTTACTGTTTGTATAATTTTTTTAGAACTCGTTTTATTGGCATTCCATATTTGCAGTTGAACATTTAATGAACACTGCATGTATGTTTACGGTGACAGGCTATTTCTATTATTTTTATGGATTTAAATGATTGTAATGAGAAACAATGGATTATGTTGAAATCTTAAGTTACAGTTGTTGAATGGGCTTTTGTTGTGTGGGTTTATGAAATTATATTCAAATAGATATGCAGACTTTTACATTGTGATGCGAGTGGCTTTATTTGGTAATTTTGTCTGAATATGATTTATTGAATTTCGAAAACAGAAATTTCATTGCTACATGGTTCTCAATGGTGACCAAACAAATAAGCTAAGCTAGCACAAGTTAAAACAGAATAATTGCCTTAAACGGTTAAACAAAATAATTGCCTTAAACAGTTAAACCCAGTGAAATGGGTGCCAACATCTGTAATTTTTATGATTTGTAATTTTTCTGGAAGAAAATTCAAATATTTAAGTAATAAAACATGAGGGGTATAAAGGTCCAATTAATTAAGAAAAAATTCAAATATTTAAGTAATAACAAGTAGGGTATAAATGTCTAATTAATTAAGGATAAAATTGGTATTTGAAACAATAGAGAGTAATTTAGGCATTTAATGTTATCAATTTAGTTGATTTTTAACTTCATTAATGGTCCACTAATAGAAAGGAGTGTCAGAACAGGTTAAACCAAACCTGAGGCATCATAGTAAAAATGACTAAGATTTAATATAAGGGCCATAAATGAAAATCTCGGTGTCAGAGCATTTAGCCCATTATTTATTTATTTTTCGTTTTCAAAACCACGCAACACGTTTATCGTATTCCGTGTTGGACCACTTCACTTCACTTTGACTTCTTGCTCCCCCGTGACCGCAAATTATTTTGCTACCATTCATTGAGGTTACATTTCGGATCAACAAGGAAAGTCAAGGATATAAAGTGGAAATGTTTAAAAATATCTCCCTCCCATTAGTGGTTTTCCGTAAGTTCTTTTCTAACCGAAAGATTTAGTGGTTTTCCGTAAAACTAAAAGTTGATTATTGAATATTTTGAAAGTTTAAATTTAATTGTTAAAATTTTAAGTGATAGCATTTAAGGGTGGTAATTTATATTCAAACTTATTAAATTCGTTCACTAAAATTAAATTATTTGTATACTTAAATTTAAGTGACCGAGACAATAATGGATGAAAAGTGAATATCCATATAATTCAATAGTCAATGATAAATTAAGAGTGAATACCAATATACGATAATATAATAATAATATAATTTTAATATATATATATATATATATATATATATATATATATATATATATATAAATTAAGCAAAAGAGAGATGGAATCTAAAGAGTATCACACTTGATTATTATTTTCATTGTTGTCAATTTTTTTAAAAAAAATAGCAAATTATTTGTACGGATTAGAAAGAGTATTCTCAAAAACTAAGCTAGCTATAATATTTTCTAGCAATATAATTTTGACAAAATGATCCATCAAAACTTATTTTTGAAATATTAAAAAAAAATAAATAAATAAAAATAAATAAATTTAAGCTTGCTATGAGAAAATCCAACGCATACTTGTTCATTTTTTATTATTATTATTTTTATGACATGGCCAAAACTCTTTAGTTTAGTGTCTATCTTTGAATAAATCCTGTAAAACTTATGCCAAGTCTTCTCATACGTGACCATACAACACGTTTCTCCTACCAACCGTATTGATTAATCCTACTCTCCCACACTGCAATTAACGGATTGAGTTAAAATTTTGAAATTTAATTTCAGATTGAGTTAACTTGAAAGATTTTTACAATTCCATTGGATATTGTGTTTAATTGGAAGACGTTGGCGCGGCTCTAGGCTCTAGCAAACAAAAAGAATTATCCCGACTCCATTTCTGTTCAGAAGCAAGGCTCTAGCATTGGAAGTGATTAATTGACCACACATTTAAAGTTAATTAATATTAAATTTTGTTAAGCTCTCACACTAATAAGCCTTTGTTTGGTTTTGCAGAAAATTCCAGAACATTAGTGGCAACAAAATTGTTCAACATATTAAAAAATTAAGGGTAAAATGATTAATTCACGTGTGAGACGTTAAAAACAAAAACTTAAAAGAAGCAGGAGCATCATCCCTGTAGACTTTGAATACGGTGATTAATGCAGTGGCACTTGCCCCTTTTCTCCTTCACACACTCCTCAAACCTTCCCATTAACCCCACAACCACCAAAACAGTTGAAAACACACACACACAACTCCCTCAACCACCATAGCCATCGATGATAATCCTACCATGTCTGTTTAGGGTTAGTTAATTTCATGGCCCAGTTGAAATTAGTCTCATGTTTTGTTCGTTGTGGACCCAATCTTTTGGGCTGTGGGCTTGAGCTTTACTTTTATTCTGTTTCAGCCCAATCTTTTATTTTGTTTTTTTTGGATACATCACAAATATTCTAAATGATGTGTTTCATCTCGTTTATGCAAAGCACAATATATCACAAATATTCTAAATGATGTGTTTCATCTCGTTTATGAAAAACACAGGAAGCTGCCATTTTTAAAGCTCAAACAGTTTTGATCAAATCAAAGGAAAGGAAAGGAAAAGAAAAAAGGTAAGAAAAGAAAGGTTGGGTTTGTGCTTGAGAGAGGGCATAGCCCTGACTTATAGATCAGACAATGAGTTTCATATCCTATTTTTCCAAGCATCTATTAATTGAATAGGTTTCACATAATAAAAGTCTCACACACACACTATACGTGTGGAGCCACTAATACTCGGTTTGGAAATTGGAAATTGGAAGGTGGAAGGTTGGGTTTGTGCTTGAGAGAGGGCATAGCCCTGACTTATATATAGATCAGACAATGAGTTATATATCCTATTTTTCCAAGCATCTATTAATTGAAAAGATTTCACATAATAAAAGTCTCACGCACACACTATACGTGTGGAGCCACTAATACTCGGTTTGGAAATTGGAAGGTGGAAGGTAAAAGATAAATGTTTGCCCACTTGACTTCTTGGCCATTAGGGGCTATTTAGTAAAACTAAAAGTTGATTATTGAATATTTTGAAAGGTAAAATTTAACTGTTAAAATTTTAAGTAATACCTTATAAAAAAATATTTAAATGCAATATAAAACATAAAAGAAAGTGTGTCAAATTTAGATCAGCAAATACAGATAAAGATACTAACAAAATATTTCTTGAATTTGGTAAATTGACATTAAAGAGAACACAATTTATAATACAAAAGTAAAAGTGATTTTCACTCATAATAACAATTTCAAATACGAACTTGAATTCTTTTACCTATAACTTCAATTCATCTTGTATGGTACTCTGTTTCAATTACATCACTTATAAAACAATATTTTTTTTTATATTTACTTTCAGCAAAAAAAAAATATTTTTTTATATTTAGCTATTGCATGTTATGTATTGCACTATAATTTATATTCAATTCAGCATGTGGGCTTGAAGAAGAAATCACGCCTGACTTTCCACTTCATTCTACACTCATTTATTTTCTTTATTTCTTCTTCCCTTATATTTAGCTACGCCTTCTGTCTTATTCTCTCTTTATTTCTCTATTCAAACTCCACTTTAAGCTCCTTTCTTCAACACCACACATGCTGCCAGCAACAACTTTCTTATATTCTTTTCTATTTATATTTTTTT